TTTTTCTTTCCTTATCTACGTGCGCACTGCGTCAGCACTGACAAATACCCTTAAAATATACCATTAATGATTTTTGGGTCTCAACATCAGCCTATTAAAATTTGCCATTTTAGTGTAAGTAATTTAACAAATTATTATCGATAATTTTGATAAATATCGCCAGTGGCGGGCATAATTTAATAAATTATTATCTAAAATTTAACAAATTATCATATATAATTTAACATATTATTATTAAAAAAATAACCTATCACAATAAAAAAATAAAATTCTAAAAAAAAAATGTTTAAAGGTCAACTTTTACAATTTTCTTAAAAAATTATGGTCTTGTTGGCCTACATGGGACCCACCTCTTGTGAGTGCGGAGCTGATAGTACAGCTATAGGACAAAACCATAACAAATGGTTCACGTCCTTAAAACTACCCCCCACTTCAAATATGAGGAGGAAAAGATGAGTTTTGAATAAATTTACGGATTCAATCCCATATTGTAATAAAAGAAAAAAACAAAACCGCCCAACATGTAGTTAAACTTTGTTAGGGACACAACAATCTCATTTATTTTATAAATTTAAATTTTTAATTTTAATTTTATTACAGTTAAAAATTATTATAAAAAAATATTTAATTTTTTTATTATAATAAAAAATTCTCATATAAAATTATATTTCAGCTTGAATTGAAAATTTAAATTCACAACTAAACGAGGCCAACAATTCCACAGCTAGTTCCACCAAATGGTTCCCGAGTATAGCCCTTTATCATCGTGGTGCCTGCCATATGGGTGATTTTTCTTTTCGTATTGTTCTGTAGAAAAAGAAAGAAAAGAGAAAAAAAAATATTTAATTTAATTTGTTTCATTAGGGTGACGACGATTATTTAGCACTATTTGTTTTGTTAAACAAATTTTCTCTACTTTTTACTTTTGAAAATTGAAAGATCAAATAATGGTGGACAGCATGAATTTATAACTTCTTTTTTTATTTTCCCCTTAATTATTATTTACTCTCTAACAAACATCCTAACAAATTTTCCCTATACATGTCCAAAATCACTCATAATCTTTCTTTCCTCACCCTTTTCACTCTATCAAACAAAATCTTAGTATCATATACAATTTTTTTTTTTTTGGTTTTTTGTTTTTACAGATACAATCCACTTTTTTTTTTTTTTTTTTTTGGGATAAAAGATATAGTCCATTTATATGTTAACCAAAAAATGCATTTTCAAATTTTTTAATAAATTATTCCACCTCCATGTTCATTCATTAAACTTTTTCCTTATACATCCATTTTCAAGCGAATAAAAAAAAAGGATCTTCTTTTTATGTTTTCTGTTTCACAAATACCATAGGTTATTGAAAATACAAAATTAAGAATTTGGATCAGCAAGTTAAAATTTTACCAATTCAGAGAAAAATTTATTTTGGTAAAATAAGTACCTTATGGCAAAAAATCCAGATACACTGGATTTTGTTATCTATATGTGTGTGTGTGAGAATAAATACACATCTCTTCTATTCTCTCTACATATGTTTTGATGAAAATATACAAGAATGAATAATCAAATCTGGAAACTCAAATAATAACCTGCTGGATTACCTTCCAATTTTACCTTACATCTATTGCATGTAGGAACAGTATCTGTGATCATGCTACTTTTGGTCAAATGTTAAATTGGTTAATATACTTTGATCTCTTTCTTAAACGAGACTTATCAAGGGAAATTCCATTTCGATTAAGAAAATATTACAATAACACACCCCGAGTTTTGTCAAAATTATGTTGACATCTCTTATTCTAAACTATTTTCATCTAGTGGTTGCACGCATAGTCTAACTGTGATTCCACATGACCCGTCTCCAACCAAAGGAGTAAAGTTTAAATCCCCTCATCCCCAAGTTTCAAAAAGTGCTTATAGTTTTGGTAATGACTGTTGATTACTAATAAAATGTAAACCATCGACCTTAATATCAACGGCATGATAAACATTTTAGAGACCCGTTTATTTCATCGATTCGAGTTTATAATTCGAATTTTGCTACAGTAAAAAGGTCTCAGAAATAGTCAAATCTAACTTTTTTACTACAATACAAAGCTCTCACATAAAGTCACATCTCAACTTGAATTAACGAATTAAACGGGCACTAGGTCTAAATGGTGAACAAGTTCAATGGAAACATTGTTCTTTTCATTCAATTCTACAGGATAAATTGATCCATAATAATTTAGGGCCATTTTAGTCATTAAAGAAAAATTTGAAGTCCTTTTAATAACATAGTAATTAGTATAACGGATCTAGGTGAATTTTGTAGATTTTCAAAAGGTGTTAATCTCATTTTAGTTTGATATTTCTTCTTTACTAGGTGAGGAATTTTTCCGACATTCATTTTTTTTTTGTATTCGCCACATCAAGGTGACAGGATTCGAACCTATGGCCCTCTGTACCCAAAACAGATGCGCTAACCAGACTGCGCTACACCTCGTCTCACCTCCCCCCGGAGCATATAGATCCACCCGATCGATGAACACTTAAACCGAACTCGCCCATCCTTTTGGGCACAGGGACGAAATATATAATTTTAGTAAATCGGGTGCCCTTGTGAAGTTGACAAGGTTTGAGGGTGTCAATGTAAATATTTATTTTCTTAGGTTATAAATACAAATGCAGTTTACGCATCTTTGTCAGTTTGTCTGGAACACCAGTTATCCCTTCTCTTGGTTTAAGAGTAAAAAAAAAAAATCACCAGGCAAATAATTCGCTATTCAAGAATCAAGATTAATTTATGTATCATCTATTAAAATTTGTAGTTTGTCCCTTTAAAAATATGAAAAAAAGTATATTAAAATTTGAAATTATGTGTTCATCCTTTTTTCACTTAATTTTATTCGTTTTGTCCCTGTATAGTACTATGCGGTGTGGCAAAAGGAAACCTCTGTTCTGAGATTATGGGAGGATGTGATCCGCAATGCGGAGCGAGATGCGAAGCAGCACATCCCGGCGGGCAGTCATCCTGCGATGCCGCCACAAGTATGTGCAAATGCTTCTACCAATGCGGCCAGCCAATCGCACCGCCGCCGGCGCCAGGCAAAAGGTGCAATGTGGGATTAGGTCCATGTAGTGCTGCCTGCTATGACGATTGTTGTAACAAGAAATGTGCCGAGAGATACCCTGGTGATTTAGGAGGATATGGATATTGTTATAGCGCCATTGGACCAATTCGTTACATCACTTGTATGTGCTACTTTAGATGCCAGGACTAGAATGTACATTTTAGGCCTCGTTCACTTCGCGGATTTGAGTTTTTAATTTGAGTTGAGATGTGATATTTTCTGAGAGCTTTTCACTATAGCATAAAAAGTTAGATGTGACATTTTCTGAGAGCTTTTTACTGTAAAAACCTAAAACTGAAAATTCGAATCGGTAAAATGAACGAAGCATCTTTGCGTTAATTATTTCTCAAAAGAATAAAGAGTTCTCTCTCTTATTTTTTTGGCCTGTTTTCAATTATCACTATACAATCACATCCATATAATTTGGTCTGAAGCTTATATTTGGCTAATCTATTTAGTGAACAGTTAAGTATTCTAACCACCAATTTAACTATATTTTTAAATATTTGAAGAAGTCTAGTTACGATTTTTTTTTTCTTTTTAGCAAAGTTATTGGGCTCTAGTGGTACGCAGTACTACCTACTAATAGAATATGAGTCTCACAGCATGGGACTCACAAATGAACTAACTTTCTGTTAGTGACAATACTTAGCACCGGTAATACTTCTAAACATTTGTCGTTTTTTTCTCCTTAATAAGTGTAGTTGTGACTTTTAATCCCTTGACTTTGAGCCTTCTATTTCTTCCGACTCGTAAGAGTTGTTAGAAAAGGTTTGTGAAGGTATAGGCCCCGCATGGTGAGTGTATGACTTTAAGACCCATCTCACTCTCGATATTATTGACTTATGATTCTCACGAGTGATGACACAAAGCTTTTATAATTATCTTTAGTTTTAGATTCTCCTACGACTCCTACGTAGTGCTCCTTTATAAACATTTAAATTAAATGTTAGTGATTTTTTATTTTAATTTTTTAAATTTAAATTTTTTATGAAAAAAAACATGAATTTGTATCCGAATTTAAATTTAAAATCATGAATTTGAACTCATAAAATAAGTATTTATTTACTCAATATTTAGATTTGACCCAAAATTTATGTTTTATAATCGACAATAAATTCGGATTAAAAAAGGCCCCTGCAAAAACCCAATATGCACTTATGTATTTTCCACGTTCTTTTTTTTTTTGAAAGGAAATTCTATTTAATTAAAAGCTTATAAACAGTCATCTTAGTACAATATTAATGACTCATTAGAAGGATGGATGCACGCCTGAGGCACGAAAACAAGAGAACACCTCGATATGCTAACAACGAGCACACATAAAGCACGAATTAAAGAAACCCTTTCCATCGAGATAGGCTTTCGAGCGTTGGAGGGACAGATCACCAAATCCCACTAAGAGCACGACATAGAAAAATTCAAGCCGATCCAAGACAACCCTATCAGGAGACATACAAATGACCTTAAGCTGATTGCTGAAAACTAACAACAAACAGCAAAACAAATGAGGATCGGATGGGGAGACCACCGCCCTTATTACAAACACGAAAATTACATAAAAACAGAAAAAAAACCTTCGACCACCGCCGTTAGAAGCCTCCGGTGAAGGGCAACCGGACAATGGGCTGTTGAGGGAGATAGTTGGTCAAGAGATCTCAGCCACCAAAAGACAAACTCGCCTAACAACAAACAGCAAAACAAATGAGGATCGGATGGGGAGACCACCGCCCTTATTACAAACATGAAAATTACATAAAAACAGAAAAAACCTCCGACCACTGCCGTTAGAAGCCTCCGGTGAAGGGCAACCGGACAATGGGCTGTCGAGGGAGATAGTTGGTCAAGAGATCTCAGCCACTAAATGACAAACTCGCCTAGAAATGAAGCCCATATGTTTGGCTTCCAAGTTCCAAACCGGTTTCGATCCACCCAAACGAATGTCAACACACTGTACACCACTATCGCCAATGAGAAGCTCATGACTAGATGAGTTGGAGGACCAAGTTTCATGGCCAGGAGCCCGCGGTAAGCTCGGAGGTGGCCCTAGAACTCCAGCCGTCGTTCACTCTTTTTTCTCTGGTTCGTGTGGGGGAGAGATTTTGTCTGATCAACACGGTACACTTCTTTCTTTTGTCTAGAGTAGGATTTTGTACATATCAACCGTATTTTATCATTATTTACAAATTTTATACAACCTCCAATATCATTAAGACTTAAGAGTTTCTTCCGCTTTTAATAGAAAGAAAGATAACGAGGTTTTAAAACGCTTAATCATCCAAAACGTTTTGTCTAATAGATGAGAATTATTTTATTATAATAATTTTATATAACGCCATGAGATCGCGCATTCTATGATTTAAGAAAAATGTTAAAAATCTACTGCGCTGCATTCTTCACCTTTTCATTTCTATTTAACCAACAAGGCAACAACAATAAGATTGGGGAGAAATAAGAACATCTTTTTTACGCTCAAGTCAAATATTTATCTAAAGATATCAAGAAAAGCATACCTTTTCCTGGCACTCGCATATAGATCAAATCAAAACCTAAGTTAAAAATAAATAAACAATTTTCAATTTAACCATTATTGTTTTATAATTATTTTCATCATAAAATAAATAAACAATTTATTAATCAATACAAATATACAAAAACTTAAGTTAAAAATAAAAGAACCCACAGTTTTCAATTTTCATATATTTATATAATATATTATATTTAAAATCATAGATTATAGCATATCACACATAATATATTTAGTAATTTAAAAATATGATATAATTAAACATGGCGGATAGACAGAGAATAGAGTTGGAAACCTCTAAATCTGTTCTTGTCTTGCCGCAACGGGTTAAAATCTTAACTCATTTATAACCTGAATCTGTTTAAATTGGTTTTCCCCATCCCGTTTAAGACAGATCCTCACAGCTAAATGAATTAATGGGTAAAATTATTGTCCCTAATTATTAAGTACCGGTATTCCTGGTGTTTTAATTTTGCATTTATTTGTCTTGTGGTTTGATCTTACAATATGTGCTAGGACCTTTAATTAAGTGTTATGTCCTTGTTAGATAGTACGTACATACAACATTAAAGTCTTGAACATACTGGGACAATTTTGCACCGTTCTTTTTATAGGTTTGAACGCAATTAATTTTTTTTTTGCTATTATATATTGGTATCAGTTTAGTCTATTACTAAGTTTGTTGTTAAAAATTGAATCAACAAATGAATATAGAACTCGAAATAGAAAATAGGCATAGGAGATTGGTATCGCGGTTCGGTAATCACCTGCTCTGCGAGGCCACACCCAAATGATGATCAATCCATTAAGAACTCAAACTTATAACTCAATTGGACTTAGACTCCTCAAGACTCTCTCTGAAAACAAGACACCTATGAACTGTAATTACCTAATAGACTTGATCAGCGAGATCTCCTCGACTTACCACATTGAAATCCCTTTAACAAACATTCTCTCCTGAAAAACTCTCGAACCATTCTCCCGAAAAATTAAGGAAATTACAATCGCACACCCCAATATCACACATTCAATCAAACAAATACAAAAGGCATGCCAAGAATAAGCAAAATACTTCTCTTAAATAGACAATTTAAAACCAGCTGTCAAAAACTTCGAAGAAATCCACTTTACTCAGACTTTTGAGATCTTGAAGCCCCTTCTCCTTTTCAAAAAGCAAAACATGTTTCTTAGCTAGTTTCTGCTTCTTCAACTGTATGCGATGCAATTCGGATGAAAGAAATTGGTACATAAGAGCAGAAGTACCTGTTACAGAATTTGTTGCAACATCGGGTGCAACAGGTTGAAGTCTAGTAGCTTGATCCCCCTTAATGTCATCATAATGAAAAGGTTTTACCAGGATACCTCTCTTTACAGTACTTATAACACCTAGGTCTGATATGCCTAGAAATTCCACAATAATGACATATAGGAACAAATCTTTTTGTTGTTCTTTTTGTTGCAACAGTGTTAACAACAAATTTCTTACCTTGTCTTACCGGAGGCATTTGAGAGGGTTGCATCATGGAATTGGTAGTTGCCTTCACAAAGGTTGTCTTTCCAGAGGTCTCTTGACCTTTGTAGCCAAGTCAAAAGTGGTCACCTTTATATTTTTGTTCGGCGAGCAAATGATCCAACTTGTCCGTACTCAAGTTGAGCATTCTTAGATTCTTTTGTATTTGCTCCAACTCAAGTCTGGTTTTAACAATAATATTCTGGTGCTTTGTGGCCAAAATCTCATAATTGGTTGCTACTCTTTTCAATTCTTCCTTCTCCTTTGTATGACAAGCAACTTCCTCCTCAAGTGACTTGTTGAGTTTGAAAACCATAAGCCACTTACTATACATCTTCTTGTAAGCCTCCTAGATCTTGCGGAGACTTACTTTTTCATCATCACTATCAGCATCAGATTCAGTCTCAGAATTTGCATCATCGGGACAACTGCCAGATTTTGTTGCAGTTTCTGTTGCAATAGATTTTGCAACAGTAATATCAGAATTCAATAACTTTTTGAGGCCTTCACGGTGGCTATTCCTTCATGTTTATTTTGGAGAATGTCCCATACATCCTTTGTAGTTTCACAGGTGGGGATCAATTTAAATTGATTGACATCCACAACATTTAAAATAGTGTTCAATGCTTTAGAGTTGTTGTTTTCGAGCCGGTCCTCATCACTAGACCATTTTTCTTTTGGCTTAGGGATAATATTTTCTTCATCATCTTTAGTTGTTAGATGAGTCCAACCAGTTAAAATGGACCACCACGTCTTCTCGTCGATAGCCTTAATGAAGACTTTCATGCTAGCCTTCCAGTATGGATAGTTGTTGTTAGAGTTGTTGTTTTCGAGCCGGTCCTCACCTAGCCTCCTTCTCTCAAGATATCCATCCTGTAAAAATAACTGGTACACCTAGATCTCACAAAAAAAATTAACGTTAGTGTCCCGCTTTGATACTAATTATTGATACCGGTTTAGTCTATTACTAAGTTTTTCCCCAAATTTCATCTCCACCATGTAATGAGATGAGAATAGAGAGGCCCAAACCTGGGAAGATCTTGCTTTGGCTCTTGCCGAGGTTTCTGGAACTTCAGCATGATTCGTACTGTTAACTGTGTTACCATCGTCCAACATCACTGTAGTCTCACTGCCCATTGATGTGCTTGAATGACAAAACTTGTAAAGAAAAAAAAAATTATGGTTTCGTTTATTTTACCGATTTGAGTTTTATTACAGTAAAAAATTTTTAAAAACAATCGCATTTAACTTTTTTACTATAATAAAAAGCTCTTATATAAAATCACATATCAACTCAAATTAAAAACTCGAATCAACGAACTCAAATTAAAAACTCGAATCAACGAACTCAAATTAAAAACTTGAATCAACGAACTAAACGCATCATGTATTTCCCCAAGGTAAGATTTCCACCTTGAATCTGTACAGTGCTTGTCCAGCTGATGGTCTAACGTCCTCTAGAACCCTACCGTATTTGAGCTTTTCACCATTTTGAGGTCGCCATGCCATAATTTCCCCCGCGTAAAATGGTCTTAATGGATGAAACTGTACTTGACGAGTATCTTGGGGCAATACTTCTTTCCCTGTCAGACTATTTCTTCCAACCCAAGTTTCCATTTCTTTTTTGTCAGAGCAAAGTTCTAAAATATCAACAATTGCATTTTCAGAGCCTCCAGGACAGACAAATAAAGATCGAATAAGTAATGGAGTCGGGGAACCTAAAACCTGGCTAATAACATTTGCAATCAACATCAAAACCTGAAAGAAAAGCGGGTTGTTCAGCAACTAGAACACGGGTTTTGAACCAGTTTATATAATAAAGTCTCTGATGGTGGAATCCAGCAATACACTCCGGAATAATAGAATCCTTAACTTCATGGGTAATATCTATAGATTTTGTGGCGACCAGCTCCGGCGAACCCCTTTTCCATCGCGCCCAACCTCGGCCAGCTCCGTGGCGACCAGCTCCAACCCCCACCCGCGGCACCAGGCCCGTCGCACCGTCCCAGCGACCCCACCCAGATCTGCCAGCCCCCACATCGAGAGAGAAGAGAGAGAGATACTGAAGAAGGAGAGTGTTTTTGGAGATGAAATTTGACGAAAAAATAAGAAGAAGAAAGCTTTTCTAACGGGGGCATTTAAGTCATTTTATTAAAAAAAAAGGAGTCACGTTATGAGTCACGTGACATGTTCTGTTAAAAATTTAATAGAATTTGACGAAAAGAATTAAATTGTCACATTTTAAAGAAATTAAAGATTATTTTGCTGAAAAAAAAGATTATGAACCAAACTGTCACGTATTAACAAATTTAGAAATAATCTATGCAAATTACAAAAAAAAAAAAGATAAAAGGCTAACAAATAAAAACAAACGCACGCTCAATTCTTTTTTTATTTGTTAGCCTTTTATCTGTTTTTTTTTTTTTTTTTTTCATTTTAGAGCAGGAAAGTTGAGCGTGCGCTTGTTTTCTTGGACAAATAGTTTGTTGCAAGAGTCCCCTTAAATTTTCTTTTTTTCTCAACAAAAAAAAAAAATTCGTTCTGTCAGTTTAAAAATCTCAGAGTCCACTAACAGAAGAAAAAGCATGATTCAATTTTAATCAAAAAATAAACCTAATTTTCACTTATACCACCACAAGTCAAACGCACAGTAAACAAACATGTATCCTAAAGTGGGTTGTAGAGTAAGAAGAGAAAAAAAAAAGAGAGTTTCTCTGGATGGGGAAAATAAATTATTAGTAGTTTTTTATTTTTCAGTCGTCAAAATTATATTAAAAACTATTATTTTACATATTTTTTAATCTGATCAGATTTTAATCAGATCTAACGATAAAAAAATAACTTTACCGATACGTCAGGCCTACCGGAGAAGGTCCCATAAAAGAAATAAATTTTTAATGTTGTAGTGTCCCCTTTAACTTATGAGAGTTTCTCTAATAGAACTAGAAAAAATAAACTACTAGTAGTTTATTACTTTTCAACCGTCAGTTTTGTATTTAATTTTTATGCTAAAAGTAACAGTGTTAATAAATATTTCTTATGTTCAAAATTTTTAGGATTTTTTACGGTAAAGTAAGCTATTTCACTCCACTGATGAGAACTGTGTATTTATTATTGGATTAATTTTTAATTGTCAGATCTTAGAGTTGGAACAATAGTGTGTACTAGTGATTAAAATTAAATGTTTCTATTGGTGGAGCAAAATAACATACTTTCCCAACTTTGTGTTGATATCTTATCTTAATTTATTTGGCGTGCTTTAATTGGAGGGCCAGGAAAGGGGAGAGTGGATAAGTAGTGAGTACTAGTGAGCAAAGTCCATGAAGCATAATAAATAAGCCTCATCACCAATATTACTCGTTGCTCTAATTTGCTCAACTAAAACCTCCAATGGATCCTGCGCATCATGATCACAAAGAAGAAAATGGTCACGAACAGTTCATTTTTCGCTCAAAACTCCCTAACATTCACATCCCCAACCACCTTCCTCTCCACACCTACTGCTTTCAAAACATCTCCAAATTCAAAGATCGCCCATGTCTGATCAACGCCTCCACCGGCGACGCCCACACCTACGCCGACGTCGACCTCGCGGCGCGCCGAGTCGCCGCGGGGCTCCACGGCTTGGGTATCCGGAAGGGTGACGTCGTCATGCTCTTGCTCCATAACTGCCCCGAATTCGTCTTCGCCTTCCTCGGCGCGTCGCATCTCGGAGCCGTCACCACCGCCGCCAACCCGCTATTCACCCCCGCCGAGGTCGCGAAGCAGGCGACGAACTCCAAAGCCAAACTCATAATCACTTTCTCGGCTTACGTAGGGAAGGTGGAGGAATTAGCCCTAGAGAAAAATCACAACGGTTTGAGGATCGCGTGCATCGACGCGCCGCCCGAGGGGCGCGTGGATTTCTCGGAGGTGATGCTTGCCGACGAGAAGGAAAAACCGACGGTGGAGATCGAACCGGACGATGTCGTTGCACTGCCGTATTCTTCGGGCACGACGGGGCTACCGAAAGGGGTGATGGTGACACACAAGGCGCTTGTGACAAGCGTGGCGCAGCAAGTCGACGGTGAAAACCCTAACTTGTACTACCGCAGCGAGGACGTGATTCTCTGCGTGCTTCCTTTGTTCCACATTTACGCTCTAAACTCGATTTTGCTATGCGGATTACGGGTCGGATCGGCGATCTTGATCATGCCGAGGTTTGAGATCGGCAAGTTGTTAAAATTAGTGGAGTGGTATAAGGTGACGGTAACACCATTTGTTCCGCCGATACTCTTGTCGATCGCGAAAAACCCCGATCTCGACCGATACGATTTGTCGTCGATTCGGATGATTATTACGGGCGGAGCGCCGATGGGGAAGGAACTTGAGGAGGCCGTTAAGGATAAGCTTCCTCATGCCAAGCTTGGGCAGGTAAGAATAAGAAATTATTATTATTTTTGTTATGGTAGTTTTTTTTTTTTTTTGATTCATTTTGTTGTTGTTACGTCGTCTTCTGTTCGGACGTTCTAGGTTAACGACAATCCGATTCATTTTGTTGTTGTGGTTGTTGTTACGTCGTCTTCTGTTCGGACGTTCTAGGTTAACGACAATCCATGTTTTCAAAATTGTCTTTAATTGTAAGAACCACCAAAGAAGTCCTATGATGATCGTATCCTTTTTGTCATTAACACATACTTCAACAGAAATTGGAAGTTTGTTGAAATAACAATCTTCCAAAGTGAAATTAATAATAATTATTATTATTATTATTGTTTTTCGCCCACTTGGGATCGTTCAGTGTAAATTTTGAAGTCTTTATGTTAATTAGTGATAACACTGATTGAAAATATATATTACAACGTTTTTATTTCAGATCATTCTTATTCTTTTCGAAAGGATTTTCCATATTATAATTGCGCATAATATTCTATATATCACTGCCACTGTTAATAAAACGTAACTAACTAGAGTTGATGATAACACGACTCGTGATCTCAACAGAAAATAATGACATGAAACAATGTTTGGTAGAGGGATTCGTTCCCTGATTTGAATTATGATTCGTGGTTTGCTACAGTATTTTCTCTCACAAAAAATTCACGTAAATCGAAAATAATTTGAATCACATGATTTGAATCCTCCAACTAAACATCCATATGCCATGTCGACTATATTATACATACATACATATAACATAATATATATATATATATATTATATGTGTATTAGGGTTATGGGATGACAGAAGCGGGATCGGTGTCGATGTGCTTGGCATTTGCCAAGGAACCCTTCCCCATAAAATCTGGTGCATGCGGCACCGTCGTGAGGAATGCCAAGATAATCGACCCTAACACCGTCTTGTCACTTCCACGAAACCGAGCTGGCGAGATTTGCATCAGAGGTAGCCAAATCATGAAAGGTATCATATACACATCACTTTGATTTCTTTATTTCCCAAATCTAGCTTTTCCTCTTTTTTTTCCGTTCTATAGTAAAATATATTTTATTGAATCAGTTATCCGTTTGTCTCACCAATTTAAATTTGTTACCGTACATAATTTTTTCATTAGATATTTAAAATTTTTATTTAATTTTTTTATTTAAACACATGAGCTAAACGGATAAATTATCAGATGAAAGTTTTTATTACGTTCAAAATCGAGATTTTTTAAGAGAGAAATTATCATGAAGTAGATTAAGTACATAAAAGTAGTTATGGGGTGGCAATATTTCATTGGCACGATAAAGATAACGACTGTAGACGTTGCATATAACCACCGCATATTGCTATAGAGTATACACTATAACTATATATATATATATATATTGGTGGAAGGGCATATATTGTATATGATCTAGCGAGAAGTGGCTACTGATTTCTAGCCAGAAAGAAGGTGGGAGCAAGATGTGTCTGATTTCAATGACAATGAAATGTGCTAACAACTACAGATTTATAGTGCGCTTTTCTTTCCACCATGAATATACTGTAGATAATGCGATACACACACACACACATATATTCCATATATGAATACCAAATGTCAAATCTTACCTACCCATTCAGCAACAAGAAAAAGAAAAAAAAAATCCTTACCTACCCAAAGTAACGTGAATGACAAATACATAATAAAATATGGAGCTTTGTTACCTAAATAACAAATAAATAAATAAATAATATGGAGCTTATAAGAGTAAAATATCTATATATGCTAATATTCTATGTTTTTAGCGTTACATCTCATCAAAAGCATGTTTTTATTTACAATACGGTATATTTATATGAGCTCCAAAACAAGAATCCTAGTTTTTTTTTTTTTTTTTTTTCATAAAATGCCATAAAATTCCCAAGAGAATATAAACC